TTCCTGCTACCGCATGGCTGGCAAACTAAAAACAACTGGTGAGCAGTGAAGTGGCTTGGGCTGAACCAGCAGGACCTAAGTGATGTGGCTGGAAGGGGAAACCGCTCACAGCCCAGCTAGGCCACTGTCTCTGCAACTCTGCCATGGCAAACGGCCTGCCAAAGCCGTGGCACAAAGCCTCTCTTTTCTTCCACTTCTCAGCTTTTCTTAGTTTTCAGTGCAGCTGATGGCTCAGCAGGACCAGGTTTTGCTCGGTGAGCTGCTGTAGGCTATGCCCCTCGGGGAGCCTTGGATGAGATGTGGGAGTAAGCAGCCTGCCTGGCTAGCTGCTTTCTGGAAGAGGCCACCTGAACCTGAGCAAGAGCCTTTTTGAAGAATCCTGCAAAACTGCCTTTTTGAGGGGACTTCTCCACTAGGAGCAACTCTTACAATTTAATATCCCCTTTTATCCTCCAAGCCCTTCCCAACAAATAACGCTTTCTCCAAACAGAGTATGGCCTCCACAAGGAGATGTACCAGATTGTGTTAAATTCGCTTAGGACACAGCTGCTATTGGTGCTAAGAGGAAGGTGTTCAGCTGTGGCAAAGGGGGGCATGTGAAAGTCCTGACATAAAGACACACAGATTTGTGCATAACAGACACCCTGCAGGCACAATGCTGCTGGGCAATCGCGCGAGCATGGCAGATGCAGCAGCCCTTATTACAAGTGAGTCCTTGCAATCCAGCAGCGACCTCCTTTGCAGAGTCCCAGAGGCAGACCGGGAAGGGGCTTTCAGAGGGTCCCTGGTTCACCCTTCACATCCACCACATCTATCCAGGTTTCCTCCTGCAGCTCGCTGCATTTCTCCTTTATTTCTTCAGTCGGTTTCTGTCCTGGACTCTCCTACTCTATGCTCATCTTTCTCCATTTTTCCTGTCCCACACCAGACTGGCAGCTTATGTACTTTTACACCCCTCTGTATCATTCCTTCTTCAAACTCTGCAAGGGATAATTAATTAAGACATTTGAACTTCTGGGGAATCTTGGTCTGGAGATCCTCCACAGTACAGAGAATCTATCTCAAACAGTGACCGTTTTTTCCAGGGATGGGCCAACTGCAATGGGAAGAGGCTTCTGTATGCTCCAAGTTCCCTTCCAAGAAACATCACCAGTTTGGACCTCTCCTTCAACTCCTTGGTCATGCCCAGTCACGGGACACTTTTGATGCATTTTCCTTCCCTGCGCTCCCTAAATCTCTCTAGCAATGCTTTGCTCACACTGTATCCATCAATGTTCTCCAACCTCGGTGCACTTCATTTGCTGGATATGAGCAACTGCAGCATCTCCTACCTCCACACAGAAGCTTTCAAGGGCTTAGAAAACTTGCACACACTGCTCCTAAAAAACAACAGTCTCCAAGAGCTAGAGGTCTCTTTCTTCCTGCCGCTTGTGGCTCTTTTTCACCTGGACCTGCAGAACAACGCACTGATCTCTATGGACACTTTAATCCTGCAGCTGATGGAGACAGTCCCACAGGTCCAGCTTGAAGGGAACCCCTGGGTCTGTGACTGCACCACGCGTCCTTTGCAGCAGTGGCTACAGCGTAGACAAGGTGAGAGGACAGGAGTGGGGAACAGGTCTCGGGGACATTTTGGATAGGAGGAATCCTGGATATAGGAGTCATGTTTGATCCTTCTGTTCCAACCCCTTTGCAGGCTCTGAGACTAGTCTACAGGGATTTCTCATGTCCCTGTTGAGAGACAGCAAATTGAAATGTAATGTGTCAGTTCTTTACTCGCAGTTACACACAATAGCAAAGATTTCTAGGAGTGACAAATTGGAGGAAAATGTTCAGTGATTTATAATTTAGCCACTGTTCTGATAAATGAGCTGAACTTACAGTTCAGCTTCTAAATCCACATATATGTATCTGCATGCAGTGACTGGATTTTTAGGAGCTGCTCAGCGCTGAGCAGTTGCTCCTATGAAGCAAGATGGGCTCCAGCCCTCTGCACTTGACTTCTCTGGGGCTGTGCTCCCAGGTGGGAGCAAACCTGCGAGAGTGTGGTTCGTCTCAGTAGCCGTAAATTTGCACTTTCCAGTAAAAAGCTGCCTAATCACAGTCACGCACATGCACAGTTTTGCTTGTTGCTGATAGTTCTTTGGTCAGGGATTTTTTTTCTTTTGTTGCACATTACAGCGTGCTGAGGGTTGGCTAGGCGGGAGGGCAGCACCAGGAGCACTCTGCTCCGCTTCCTGTCACACCAGGAGCAAGTAGAGAGCGCTTTCTCTGAACTGCAGAGGGAAAGGATGAAGACCCTCTTGTCCCACCTTAGGCTGTGTATCTCCCAGCTGTGCAGGTCACCTGTGCATCACCCCCAGAGCTGCAGGGACAGGACATCACAGCTCTCAATTTCCAGGACCTGGGCTGCAAGAAAAAGCAGAGGTTTCCTCGGGCTGACAACATGACGCTGCCGCTGACCACAGTGACCCAGAACAACGGTAAGTTGTACAGCTATGGAGGCTGCACTAAGGACTAGCCCCCTCCTTCTTTCAGTCACCTCCACAGACATGTCCCTACTGCAGGCGTAAACCCCCTGCTGCTCCCCGGCAGGCCCAGGGGCTCATACTGCCTGGGTCACCCATGGAGCAGTGGATTGGCAAGGAGGATTGCCGTCACCTGCAGGTGTTTGCTCTCTGGCCAGGTGCTGTGCAGGTCAGCGGAAGCTTTAGCAGGAGCCATACAGCTGCACCGGGCACACGCTCCATGGTGATGGGCACCAGTACCAAACAGCCACCCAGCAGTTTTCCCCTCAGTGTTCACAGACCCTCTTCAGTTCAGTTATGTGATGCTAGCTCTTGGTGAAAAGCATTTGCATTGCTCTCAGTGAAAGCGATCTCGTGTTTGTTGAATAAGGCGGCGTGCACATGATAAGCTACTGAGAAGAACTTGGTATGCTGCAGACTTGCACCCTGGCTCACCTAGCAGTAAACCAGTTATGGGGCCATATTGGAGTAAAACAGCAACAGCTACAATACTCCTGAAAAGCTGCTCTTACACAGCTTCTCAGCATTTATTCTCCCAATAAAACCCACAATGAATGAGCAGAAGTCTTTGCATAGAGGCACAGTGGTGGGTCTGCCAAGTGCACTGTTGTGCTAAGTCTCCTCTTGACAAGATGAGGGGCACACGATGCCCCGACATGCAATGCCCTGTCACATGATGCCCCAACATGCAATGCCCTGACATGTGATGCCCTGACATGTGATGCCCTGACGTGCGATGCCCTGACGTGCAATGTCCAACATGCAGTGCCCTGACATGCTTTTCCTGTGTTGCAGCCACCGCACCAGCTGCAGGGAAGGGAGGAAGGAGCTGGCCATACCTGGTGGGCTTCCTGGTGGCAGCCGTCAGCATCTCCATCCTGGTCGCACTGGCTGCCAAGTGCAAGCTCTTCCACAAGAACTTTGCTAGCTACCGCCACCGGCCGCTGCCCGACACCAGCTCGATTGGAGGCAGCCACATGGAGGAGAGTACCAGCTGGGACAGGGGCACCTCTGGCCGAGGGGACAGCGAAAGCCACCCTATGCCTGGTGCAGGCGGCTTGCATGCTGAGGATGATGATGGCTTCATTGAGGACAACTACATTCAGCCGAGTGAGCAGCTGCAAGAGGAAGAAGAGAGGGAGTCACACCTCTCCATCTGAAACCACATGCCAGCCACCTCCACCGCAGGGCCTCCAGCCTCTGCCCTGTGCCCTCTCCACCCCAAAATCTCCATTTCTTTTCTCCCTTTTCCACCTTCCCTTGGATGTTGGCCCCATGGCCTAAGTTGGTATCAGGAAGAAAGAAGTGGAGAGGAGCAATGAGAAGGGATCAGCTGGGAACGGGGAGAGAAGCCGAAGGCACCCAGCCCCACAGCAGCACAGCCAGCGAGGGTTGCCAAGGCCCCACAGCCTCCCACTATGACTTCAGCAGAGCTGTACCTGCACTGGGAGACACCAGACCCACTGCTCCTCTCCTAGCCTTGCTCAAATGCTGAAGATATATGAGATGGTGCTGATCATGGCCCAGGCGGCCTGGCGGGGTGGGAGGATGAGGCTCGAGGTGCCTGCCCGGGCGCTCCCAGCAGGGTCTTGGGCACAGACCCCAACGCCCTGCAGTGCTGGGCGTGGCCCTGCTCTGTGCCCCGTTGTGTTGTCACTCTGGGGTGTGATTAAAGTGTGATTTAACTCCCTATTTCTGCTTGCAATGGTTTGTTGGGGCCCAGACCCTCCCAGCAGCAGTGCCAAGATGAGCCCCCCCGAGCCCCATAGTCGGCACAGAGGGTGTGAGGCAGCCTGGCAAGGGCCTTCAGCTTCATCCTGGCAAGGTGGGGGCTGCACCAGGCCAGTGTCAGCGGGGGCTTTGCCAGGTGTCCCAAAAGATGAGAACTGTTTATCCTGTTTTTCCTCTCCTGTGATAGGGACACTGTGTTATCACATTGTTAATCTCTGATTAAATGTTTGGAGCATCACTGCTGGTTAAATTCATGTTTGACGAAACCTTCCCAGTCCACAGGAGGAAAGTTTAGGGTTGTAGCAGATAGCATTGGTTAATCCTTAATTATTTGACTAGAATTTGTGTAGTTTTTGTGACAGTTGATCTTTTGTGACAGTTGATCTTTTAGCAGAACTCCAGACCTGGTGCAGATATTGAGTCATTTTCCTTCGTTTGGTTATTTGGGTTGGACCCACAGAGAACATGAGCATATCAAAGAGTTTGAGCTCATGTGATTTTTCTGATTCTCTTTTGTGCCTTTTGCTGCTTGACAGACTTGCACTTTTTCCTATTTGGGAGTAAGAGAAAGGTGTCTGGATTTGCATTACCACTATTGCCTTGCCTGGGTACTCAGATCAAAAAGATCTGGATGATCTGAGAGAAAGGATGTCCAAGCTCCACTGGGCATCACTGAAGAGCCACAGTCTGCTGAGTTGCCTGCAAAGAGAGGAATGTGTTGTAGGGGAGCATATTCCCCTCTCACAGACCTTGTTTGTCTCCTCCTTTCTTTCTCACATAAGGCTATCTTTGTCTTGTTCGTGTGTTGGTGTCTCCTTGTAGCGGAGACCATGGCAGAGCTGTCAGAGGAGCCCAGAAGCGAGCCTGGATGCTTCTCTGGGATTTGTATCCAGATCTCAGCCAAATGGGGCAAAGGTTCAAACACTCATGCTTATACCAGGTTTAATCTGTGAAGTTTTCCTAACTTGTAAAATCTGCTGTGATTTCTATACAGTGCCAAAGATTCTCCTGTATCTGCATACTTACTGCCAGCAACGCCTGGAGCTGCTTGCTCGTGGTGGCTGCTGAAGACCACTGTATCAGCAGGTGTGTCCAGCTGGAAAACCAGCTTTTTCATCAACAGTCTCCCGGAGCTGCTGTGGATGAAACTTAATCAGGATCTGGCTTATACATTTGGCTCAGATGGCTGATTCTTTTCACACATATCTCTCATTGCTTAGATTGCAAAGATTTCTTGTGCTAGTCTTTTCACCCCAAAGCTGTAAAGCAGGAGGAGCTTTTGGCTGGAGGATGCAGTGCTGGGATGAGACCTGCGGGACCTGTGCTGCCAGGCCCACCAGCAGGAGGCACCCGGCTACCTCTGCAGCTGCCCTTTCCTCTGCTGAAGATTTTGAAGATGATGGAGTCAGCCTTGGATGCTGAGGAAGGCTCCTGGTCCAGCACCTTTCAGCACTGCTGAGAAACCTCCTGCAATATGGGATGCAGCCTGTGTGCATCTATGCTTCTGTGATACACACGTGCCCTTCCCAGGGAAACTCTGAGATAAAGCAGTACAGTGATGATGGGCACTTCCAGCAGCCAATCCCTCTGCTGACTGAGTTTTTTAAAGATTTTCTGCTCCGTGGAACACACTGTAGTGTGTTCTTTAAATAGTTGCCCCTTCTGCCTCACTGCAGGTGGCTGCCCAAGCAGCAGCTGAGGGACTCTGAATCGCCCTCCACCTCCTACAAGGGTTCCTCCTTAGCTCCCAGTGAGGGGATGCTCTGTTTGGCCACCTGCGTAGCTCTTCAGGTTGATGCAAAGGCAGACTGAGGCCAACAGATGAGGAGAGGGGAAGCTCTTTCTCGCTTGTTTGTTGCTCTCAGCGCCTCCAAGGAATTAATTGTTTCAGGCAGCAAGACGCTGTCATCAAGAAGCCTGGTCTGATCCTTTGTGTGCCGGCATCACATTCATTCTTCACACAGCCATTTAGTGTTCATTTCGATGCCTCCAGCAACATCTGTGTGGCTGATCAGTTGAAGGTTCTCATCAGATGCTAAAACAGGGAAAACGATGCTGGAGAACCAAAGTGAGCTGAGAAGACCCTATGTCCTTGCTGTGGATGACAGGAGTGTCCTGTCCTTGCGTGGGAATATTGTTCTGTCAACAGTGATCTACCTTCAAGTGGGAAAATACGGCTGGGTGCTCAAAGGAACAAACTCTGCAGCCGTTCTGCTTTGCCCAGCCTTTGTGTCTAATGTCAAAGGGTCAGAGTAACCCTCTTCCTGGCCTCTGTTGTCATCTCCAGATATATTAACATCCTTAGCCCAGATTGTGACAGACTACAGAACTGAAGTCTTTGGACTCTATGGGCTTAAGTGAGACAAAAAATTGGGAGCAAAAATGAGGTCTAGATGCCAGGCTCCTTTCCCCATTCCAGGTAAGATGTTCATTATGAAGCTGGGAAGTTGGCACTGATGGGTGATAGGTACCTTTCAGCTGTATTTAACTAGGCTGGAGTCCTCCTATCTCCAATAGGGCAATGAGATACCATAAGGAAGCACAGTAACTGCCAGAGGTCAAGGATACACTGCTCTGCCCCACAAGCATGAGATGGTAAAACTGCAAGCTGCAAGAGCCTCCCCAGAGAAAGGGAGCCAGAGACCTTGCTGTGTTCCAGCCCCCAGCTGCAGAGCCTTCCCCGTGGCCGGAGGCAGGGGTCGCTTTGCATTTGTTCAAATGTTGACCGTCTCAGCCTAATGCTTAGGCATTTGATGCAGCCATTTGCTTTCATTGATGAGCCAGTTTCTAACACTTCTTATTGCACTTTAAGAGACCACAGGTGTCTACTAGCTCCTTGCTAAAGGAGCAGAGCGTGACCTAGCAATGAAATTTCAGAATAGCATGAAAGAAGCAACTTTTCAGGGTGTAAATGAGAGCAGGTGCATTTGCATTGCAAGCCAAAGTAGCGTAGTGCTTTGGTGTTAACAAGCAACATGGACATTCAGTGGGAATTACTCATGTAATGTCTTTCACCTTGGTCTAACACACTGACAAATACTTTTTTGCATGTACTTTCAAGGACCAAATAACACAAACAAATGCCTCATCAACTGTACCTGTGAGAGTACAGATCTGTGGCATAAATAATAGTCTTGTACACACACAAATCTGTTATTATATGATCTTGTACGCACAGTCCTTGTGCATTGCTGCAGGTTTTCTGTGTACATTTCTCCAGAATTACTCCCTGTCATGTTGGTTCTCTATATTTCCCCTTCACTTGCTAGAAAGGCATTTACCTTTCCCATGGCTGTGCCTGTGAACACAGCTCTCTGCAAAGCTGAGTCGAGTTCTTGCAGTGCTCTGCTTCCAGCATCAGGCAGGCACACGCTTTGGAGCGAAGCAGCCTTGTCTCAAAGAGGGTTGATTACAGACTCGACTTAATATCTGTATCTCTTACTGTGAAGTTATAATATACATTATAATTTTTGCATTCTGTCATCTCTGTGGTCAGATAAGCAATGCATGAGACATAGGTAACTCAAAGTTGTGTCTGCTGAGGCAGGACCATACCCAGCCATGTATGTATGGGTCATACTGGAGTTCAATGTGCTGAGCAGCAGCAGCCTCCTTCCTTAGCAAGTGATGGTCCACTTCTCTGCTGGAAAGATTTCCTTGGGAGCAGCCTAGCTGCTAATCTCCCTGGTAGTTTGGGAATATCTCTGTTGTGCTGCGGAGCAGGATGCTGCATCACAGGGACTACGTGTCTTGCTGCCTCCGCCACATCGCTAACTCCCCTGTATACTTCAAACCTTCACTTCATTGTAAACTTTTTTCTTTACTTCTCTACATCTTAAGATAATTATTCAGCCCAATGTATACAACAGCAAATGATACATGTCAGAGAATGTAAACCAAAGGCGACTATTAGATCATGTGTTCGACGTGCAGTACAGGCTATATGCTTTGCCCGGTAACTTAAAACATTTTCCAGAGAGGGAACTTGTTCTCTGAAACCATGAGGAGACAGAAGACCTGTTGGTTAGTTCTAGTGGTCAGTCAGTTTTCTCTCTTAAAAGCCATATTTCTGAACTGCATTTTTCCTGGCTTGAGTTTTGCAGTCACTGCCTCATGTTTTGCTTTCTGGGCTCATCTTAATAGCCCTTTACTATCTGCACCGCTCACTGTGAAAATATAATATACGCTATAATTTTTGAAAACTTCCTACATCTTTCTGGTAAGATAGAATGGGAGACTTAAATCTGAGGACTGGAAAAATGCAGTTCAGTTAGCTTTTGGAGGCTATTTTCTGGGCTTTTCAATATGCTTTTTATAATACAAACACATGCACTAGATGCAATATTTTAGTTTTGGTCTCTTTGATGTTTTAAAAGAGGTTAAAAATACAACTCCTTCCCAGTTTTATTCATCTCAGGATCTCATTTACTCGCTTCCCTCAGTATCTAATGGTGATCTGCCTGTCTACTTTGATGCTATTCATAAGCCCATCAGTTTACTCTTTAACTGGGCAGAAGTGGTTATTTTTCTGATGTGCAAAGTGTATAGGTCCCATGACAACCCCTCTCCGCTGCATCCAGGCAACTTCAGTGCAAACGGGTGGGTGCCTGGCACCAGTTGCCTGAGGCAAAATAAACACATCTGACTTACAGAGGGCCAGAGCAGAAAAGGAGGAGCCTTCTGAAAGCAACGTACAGAGTGGTCATCCCAGGAAGCTGCTGAAAGGACCAAAGTTCATGCTGGCGGATGTGTACAGTAACAGAAAGGTATGCGGGCAGACTGGTTCCAGGCTCACTTGGAGGCAGCAGCTGCGCTCAGAGCGAAACAGCGTTTGTGTAAACAAATGAGCCGGCACCATCATGTTCGGGAGGCTTTGCACGCTGCCTGCGAGCTCCCTTCAGCGGCACGACAACAGCTCAGCTTCCTTAGGAGGGCCTGTCATGTCTAGGTCCTGAAGCGGAGGAGATGCGTGCACATCTGGAGTTGAAAGTCATGCATAAGGAAATAAATACATGCATTTGGGGGACTGTGGAGGCATTGCCGTGCTAGCTCATGAGCTGGAACTGCAGCCAAAGGATGGCCCCCGGGCTGCCGAGATTTCTGCCCTGAGCTTAGCCAGAGCAGAGCTCGGCTCTGCACAGCCCGGCAAACCACCATTCCCAAGAGAGGCCCACACTGAAGTATCAGGCTTCAACACAGTCAACTTCTGCAACACTTTATTATGTTTTTCCATGCACAACACAGGAAACAAGGGAAAGGAACAAAACAGTAATGCTGCTGTAGGAGGTGAGTCAGATACTGGCTCAGTACAGGCTGTCCATTTGGGCAGCCATATACCCAAATCTCCATCTTCAGAAACAGCCTATTTTTATCCATTATTTCCTTGGGTTGCTGACATGGTCCTGAAGCATCCTCTTCTGGCAAAATTCATGTGCACTTAGGGCACGTCTTGAAGGGTCTATGGAGGGGCAGATTCACATTGATATGCAGGCAGCGTGGAGCTGCATGCCAGGCACAGACATGCATGTTCACAGAAATGCACAGATGTGCAAAAGAGCCAGTGCACAGACAGCTGTGTCCCAGCGCACACATGTGCAGGTCAGGGAAGCTACGAATAACTGCAAAAGCACTGAGACAGCCTGGAATAACTGTGCATTCACCAACACAGATGCGCAGAGCTGCAGCTGCAGCAGTGTTGGTGGTGCAAAACTGCTGCCCAGCTCTGGGCTGTCACTTCATTTGTATGCTCCGGACTTCCTGCTGCACCTAGGGTTAGACTGGGGGAGGACTGCTCTTTGCTACTCAAATGTGGAGCGTTTAACACAGAAGGACCTGATCTTAGTAACAGCCTCTTAGGTCTTGGGCAGATTCAGGGAAGTAATGCAGTGAAAGGAGGAAAGAGCTGTTTAATAAAATCTACAGATGATATGAAATTGGCAGAGGAAAATGTAGAAATAACAGAGATACAGAAAACAAAAACGAAAATGATGTTCCCATGCAACTGGTTAGTTTGGGAAAAATAATCCAAGGAAGGAAAGTCAGTAGGAACAGAGCAAGACTGGATGAATACAGAAGTGCTCTCATGTGATCTGAGTGCCTCAGAGACAGCATGGGCTGCAAAGGGATGAAATCCTCGCTGTCCAGCATATACCTGGTGTGGTTCACCGATGATGAACTTCTGACATTACTTCCAGGTGTAACACGGACAGTGATTCATGCTGTTACTAAGGGAATGAGCTATGGTCCTCTTTAAAATAAATTTGCCAGACTCCTCCCCCCCCCCAAAAAAAAAAAAAAGACCAGCTTAATCTAATTGGTCTTGCTTCATTTCAGTGACCCTAATTCTCAGAGGGACCATAGCAAATAAAGAGCAAAAATAATGGCTGAGGCAAAACAATTCAAGTCAGGGGGAGATGAGAGCAGGCAGGGAGATGAAGAGAGAGAAGCAAGTAAAGGTTGCTCAGCAACAACTTCACTAGGAGGGTTAGGAGCTGCGTCTATGGAAAGGGCAGGAGCAGTGAAATGGTTTGTGGCTCTTACGGAAGAAATGAAAAATTTGACAGGTAAATCAGTCTAAATTCAAAGGAAAAGTTTCTAAGGATGAGTTGTTAGCCTGCCTCTAGGACAGGCTGATAGATACCCTCATAAACATAAAACATCAAAAAGGCTCACAGTGAGGCCCAAGTGGTAACAGAACAACTATTATATGCCAAGCAGCAACAGGCTGCTGCTGCACTTGCAGGACAGAGAAATAGCACAGAAGAGCTGCTGTGCTGAACCCACTCCCAGCAAGGAGTGAGGTGAACTGCATGGTTCTCATGGCAGCAGAGGTGCGTCTGCTTGAGAAACTAATGCAGGAGAGCTACAGTGCTTCCTCTTCACCTCCCTTACAGCGCAGGAGATCTCCATGCAGACCAGCCCCAGGCCTGTAAATTTTAGCATCCCATCTTCGTGCTCCTGGTGACTGCATCTTGCTGTTTGTGGAGTGCATGGCTGGAGCACGCCGTTGTGACAACAGAGCCTCCTCCAACACTCAGTTCAGCACTGAAACCCCATCAGGGTGCTAATGTCAACAATTCGCCTCCCCCTTTGATCAAAAGGCAGAAGACCATGGGCTGCAAAAGGGTAATATTGGAAAAGAACCCGGCATTGCAAACACAAACAGCATTTCATGTGCCATCAAACCATGCCTGGCTCAGAAACACAGACTCACACACAAATCCCATGCTCACTCCCACAGACATACAGGTGCTTTCTCAGGGGGCAGCCCCTCGCAGCTGTACTTCATACCTAGCTCCCTTTGCTTGCATTCAGCACACCTGCTAACACTCACAATAACACAATATTTCCTGTCATTTATCAGTTGTTGCTACAGGCTGTTCTTATTTTCAGGGCTCCTGTAAGCTGGCAGGAAGGGGAATGCACAGCACAGGGCATCACAGTATGCTCAACTTGTATACACCTTCACAGGCTCAGAGGCGCAGACTATGAACTGATCACAGCTAAAACATGGGCCCAAGCTGGCAGCTCTGCACAGAGCATGAGGTGGTTTCACACCACCAGCAATCACAGCCTCTCCTGCTGTAGGAGAACAGTGCAGGGGCCAGCAGGAACCGAGCGAGTACTGGGGTCCCCAGAGGTATAGGACAGGCTCACCTTTACTCCCTCTGTGTCAGCAGGGCCACAGCTGGGCTGGTTGGGCAGGCAGCAACCGTTGCAGGAGGCTTTGCTGAGATAAAAAGCAGAACAGGTCAGTGCTATGCTTGTAAAGCTCCAGCTCATGAAGCCTGTCCAGGCAACCCGGGGTTCCCGCCACACTATTAGCCTGAGGTAAAGCAAATGCCAGTCATCTCTGAAAGAAACAGAAGGCACACTGCAAATCTTGCCCCGCTTTGGGAAAAAATGGTGAGGCCAGGAGGCACAAGCCCTGCTGGCGAGTCATATCCCGAGAATCTCATGCAGGGGTGACCTGTCAGTGCTGGTGCAGCTCCAGTTGCTCTGGGTCAGATCAGGTTGGCCATGCTGGAGGTGGGAGGAAGTCCTCTGTTAGCAGTAAGACGGCCGGAGATGGTGAAGACACTGATTTCACCTGTCTCCAAGCTTCGAGGAGCAGCTCGGCAGCAGGAGGTGCAGAGCAGATAGAGCAGCAAGCAGAGGAGGATGGCACTGCCAGCAGCCAAGAGGATAATCCCACTGGTGAACATGCTGGCCAGCGGCCGGACAGGGCTGAGCTGCATGGTTGTGGTGGAGAGGATGGTGAGCACAATGCCACAGATCAACAGCACTAGGGCACTGAGCAGCAGCACCAGGCAGTCCGAGAAGCCCCCACTCTTCAGGAGCTCAATCTGATCCCGACTGCGGATGCAGTTCATATCCTGGATGGCAGAACTCAGCAGCTGCTTCAGCAGCACAAGCAGGGCCAGGAGGCAGAGCGTGGTGCCCACGGCCAGCCGCCACTCCCCAGACCGGCTGGTGGTGCTGGCACGGCGCAGGA